GAAAATGCGTTACAGTCGATGTTCTCGCTGTAAATTGGACCCCTGTCGTCGCGACCATAATTCCCATTAACGCCATTCGCGGGGTCGATGCGAATTCAATGATCAGTGGTCGGAGAATCCCGGGGGAGAATTCCCCGCGAATAGTGTCCTATTATTGACCTCGATTCGGTGTTTTAAATTCACGGGGGGGTCAAGGTGCGACCATAATTCACATTACGAGTCGCGAGGACGCCGCGAAATTGGGTGGTCAGTGGCCAATGGGAGCTCGCCATTGGAAAATTCCCAACGAATCATAATCCTCTTTAACATCATTCTCTAAGTAAAATTACGATGTCGGGAAAAGAATCCAACCCATCGGAAATTGTCCTAATACTTTCCTTCGAGTCTCTAGGGCATGAATTCATATTTACATGAATATTGACAATGACCTATAAATTTGATTCCCCTTGAACGAAAAAGAACTGGACGAGAAGACGCTTTTGTGTATTATTTTTATAAGCACGTTTTACTTCCGCTCTCTAATCTGAAACTATGCATTATACTTATAATTACTAATTTTCAGAAATTGAAGCTCTCGGAGATTAATATTTTCGTTTGAAGTAGTTGTTCAAAGTGTGGTTAAAAGTTCGACCGAGGTTCTTACGTTCTTTATGGTCCCCCTAATTTTTCATCTCCTGAGTGGGCAGGAAATTCGCTCGCTGTTCCCAGAATGAAGGATCAGGGAAGGTCCCGGAGCTCCACCTCGACCTTGCGGGAAGTTCGAGGAAATTTGCGAGATTTCCCTTCCCAATGTCAGGGCTGCGCAGTGGAAGAAGTCGAGGTCGGGTCCGGCAGGTCTGCACGTATGTGCTAACACGCCTAATGGACGGCGATTCGTTTCACTTTAACGGAGCCGACGTTTTTCCTCGCCCCTCGCCAGGGGATCCGACTCGGCGAGATCTCATTTTTGGTCTTCGCTTAATCTCCGCTGGCCCCGACAAATCCCTCCATTAATTCCCGTTGGATCGCCGGGGTCGGCCATTTTTACGCTTGCCAACGAGCCTCGTCGTGGATCTCGGCGACGAGGCCTCGTCAAGGATTTCGGTGGAAAACCTGATTAAGTAACGCCCGTGGCTCAGGAGATTTCGGATTCTGCCTTTCGCTTCTTTCTCCGAAATTTTCCCTCGAATTTTCCCTCGACTTCTCCCTTTTCCACGAGTCTCGGCCTCGTTGCCGGCTGACGTTAAACCGACACTCGCTACTGGAGGTCCTTCCTCCTGGGAAAGGATATTCTAATGATCGTCATATCGACTGATTCGTCCTTCGGCCTGTCCGTTGGCGAATTCACGAGTCAACGAGCCGTAATTCTTCCGGAAAAGTTCCCACGGAATTTCCACCAGGGACGAGCGCCCGTCTCTCCGTAATTGAATTTCCTCCCCCAATGTTTCATATCTCTCGGCCGGACGGTCTCCGCTTGTCGGCCCTTCGTTGGATCAGAAAACGGGAAATAGATACGTCCCTGTCACCCGGAGCCGGGATCTGGGGCGAAAAATTTCCCGACGGCCAGCCCTCGATTTTTCCTCCCTGTGCTTATGTCCACGCCATGCCCGAGCTCTCCTGCAAAATTCGAGGGAGATTATCCGCCTAGGTGGATATTTCTTTCGTTACAGTCCAGGGGATAAATAAATTAGCACTTTATACCCAAATTGGACGCATTTATGTTCGTTGATTGTGATACTTAGGTGTGCCCTTGAGTCGAAATTTTCGTTTTACTTAGAATCTTTAATCACAGGTTTTAACTGGGGTTTGACGTAACGTAAAGAAGGACAAGTTTTACATAAATAAACAGTGAATTGGAACCAAAGGAGGGCTTAAAGGTTTAAATTAGGATTAAAATTTTCACACAGTTTCCCAGGCAGGTTTTATTATATTCGCTCCATCAAATTTTATTAACTACCTTCTAAAGCGCCGTCATATGGAGGCAATTCCATTTGAATTATCACGAATTTGTTTCGGAAAAATCATGCGAAGCTTGGAATGGGAAGCCGAAAAAATGTACCAATTTTACATTTTTTTTTAAATCCCTTTCCAATTATTGCAACAAATTTAATTGTTTTTGAGATCGAAAAAGTGCCTGGACGTTCGGAAAAATCACGCGAAACCTGGGATGGGAAGCTGAAAAAAGTAACCAATTTTACGTTTTTTTAATTTCCCTCCTTTTCAATTTCCTTGGTTTTTTTTCTATTTTGCTTCGTTTTGTAAGTGCCTTATCACTGGTTTATCAAAGGAGCCGAGATAGCACCCCTTGTCTCCTTTGCATTACGTTCTTGGAGAGTTCGCCAAGGTTGTTCTCGGCAGCAATACCAGGCATTTAAGTGGAGGTCCGGTGAGAGCGGAATCGCGGTGTAAAAAGCACGCGGACGTTACGCACGATCGTATTGCGTTATTTGTTCTACTTGAGCTCCCCTCTCTCTGGGCTGGCTTTTTGTCCATGGCACTCTCGTTTACATTGTCACGTTGTCCCGGCCGTTTGCTCGTAATGCCTCGTTTCCGCGTAACGACTTATTTCCGCGGTGTGGAGCAAGCGAAAATCTCCCGTCCAGGTCGGAGAAGGCGAAGGCGAATCGAGGGAAAGCGCGGAAAATCGAATGCCGAGGAAATATCGAGGCGAGCTGCCGATTTCAGATTTCTCAAAGTCCCCCGTCCTCTCCGACTTCCTTTCAGGCTTTATTGGATTTCGGAGAACGTTCCTTTTCGGAAAGTTTTCGGGTAGACCGCTCCCTTTTATTGCCACTGGTCGATTTGTTATTCCTCGACTTATTGGCCCGTTATCTAGTGATTTAATGATAAGTCGCGCTAGGGATAAGTTGCACCAAAATGGCGGCCAAGTTCTCCAGGGTTACTCTAGAGTGTTGAACATATCCATTCTTGATGTAACACACAACTAATGGAATTTCTTTTAAGATACAATGTTCCAAAATCTGGTGCACGATTGTGTCCTGGGTTTAAGTATAGTATATTAATCTCAAATTTTGAAATTTATCGTACACCAATTTTCGATCATTTCTTTAAGAATTCATGCACAATTGTGTACGAGGATACATGTACTGCTGGGCGATTGTCATATGACATGCATGCGAAAATTTATATTCTTTTGTATATTGACATTCGATCAGGTACACCCAATCGGATGTATTTCCGGAAAAGTGCGTTTTAGTACATTGATTAGCATTTTTACCGATGTTTTTCTACATCTTACGGTATTGTTCAAGATTTTCAATATTTCTGTAAGAATTCTTACGTGTGTATAGATATTTTTATTGAAGATGTAGTATTATATAGTCCGGTTTTAATTCTGAGAGTCGCTGTTTTCGGATCTGGAGTAAATTTTCATTCGAAAGTGTTCGAAATATCGGAAAATTTCCAACACTATAGCGTCGACGGTCCTAATCGCGCCTCCACGCTACTTTCGTCTTCTCTCTTCTTTCCGAATCTGAAAAAGGTCGAAGTTCTTGCCGGTTTTCGTCACCGAATCGATCTAATTTCCTCCGTTTTAGAAAGTCCACACATGGACGGTGATACGTAACGGAAAGTCTCATGGCAAGTCGGTAGTAGTGAAACAATCGGAGAAAGCGTCTCGGATCGGCGCCTCATTTTTCTTCCGCTTAGATTTTGACTTTGAGGAATCTTTTGACATTTCAGGACTCGATGAAGCAAGGAGGACCGGCCAATCGACGCGGTGACAGTTGCGCCACGTGGAGGAGCTTGACACGGTTCGCGTCTCGTTAAGAATGCAGGACCTCCTGCAGTAACGCCGCAACGGAGTCAATTGTTGAAATGGTACCTAATTGTTCACCGGAACAATCCCCTTTGTAACGGTATTTGGATTCCGACAAAGGATGACCCGTTCCGTCGCCTTTGAATGGCCCTTGTCAGTGGAGCGACGATTTTGACATGTGGAGTTGATATAACGTGCGACTAGATGAAGGAAGCGTACACGACGGAACGTTTTTTTCTTATCAGCCAGCTATGCCCGATTTCGATGGATTAAGGTGATATGAAAGTGGCGCTAGAGAGTTTTTCATGAAGTTTCTCCAGGTACCAAATCGTTTTAAATTTTACAGTACGAATATAGAGACTATATTCTCTTCCTTCGACCATGAAATTTCAATTACAACAAAAATTTGTATTAGATATTTGCAAAGTTTGTCATAAATGAAATTTCATGGGTGGAGGGATCTTCCTTAGGGCCTCCATGTTCACGTGGGATAATTTTAAACGACTCGATACGTTTGGAGGAAAGTCTCATAAACGATTGAACCCGGCTTTCGCATCGCCTTAACCGCAAATAAATGACAGACAGGCTGGGAATGAATGTTTTGGCCACACTTTCGAAAACGGTGACTTTAAAAATCCACGGTATCGTATATTTGGCATTGAGTTCGGTAGTAGATAATTAATTCCACTTATCATCTAAGTGTTTGAAGTAGGTAATTAATACGGAGGGAACGTCGCGGCCGAAGAGTTTGCGGCCTCGAGGACCTTTACGAGCGGATTTCAAGGTACACGGTGCTCATTAAGAATTGATTATGCGGTCACTGCATGTACCGACAATGAGTATGATACCCAGGACACGGAGCCCAGAGTATCGACCCGGTGGAGGGACGTTTACAGGGACAAGCGAAACACTTTTCTGCTTGATATTCAACGAGGGCATCTCTCGATTAATCTCTGGAGTAGCTGCTCCTCCGAAATCGATACCACGGTAGTTGTGTACACTTTAAAGGAATCCCTCGCGTATTGATCTCTTCTAGGAGGCTGTGTCCACCTCCTGAATATTGACTGCGAGGTGCATTTTCAGGCTGAAGGCACACAATGAAATGCTGCCGCAGAAGCGATCAGCGGTCTCGTTCCTGGTGCGGAGGTCCCAGGAGGTGATGCGGATGTCCTGGCCGGCTGTCAAGGAGGAACGATCAACGGTCTTTGGTACGGCACTTCCTGGACGATTTTTCGACTCGTTTCTAGCGGTCGTCTTGCTCCTCTTTTCCGTGGTGGTCGCTTCCACGGGTGTTGTGCACCTGGGCGTGGAACCCATCATGGTCCGCGTGGTAACGCACGATCCTGACGTTGCCTCCGGGCTCCATGACGGTGTATTCGCCTACCACTCGGTCACCTGGATGCAAATTAAGCGGCTCATTAAATTCCCCGCAGTCTCGCGAGTTCTCCGAGACATTGGCACCTCCACGAATCGACTCGCGTGGTAGCCGAGTCGGAAATGTTTACCTGATGAGCTTTGTGTGCGCACGGGAGGGTTTGGAGTATGATACGAGAATTTCGGGACGATGCGAGAATTTCAGGACGATGCGAGAATTTCAGGACGATGCGGAAATTTCAGCACGATGCGAGAATTTCAGCATGGTACAAAGATTTCAGCATGATGCGAGAATTTCAATATGGTACAAAAAGTTTAGCATGATGCGAGATAGGGAGATCTTCACGAAATCGGTCTCGTTTGGACATCAGATAAATATTTTATAAAAACTGAAATTTCACGAATGTCGAGAGGTTCCTTATAGTCTCCAAATTTACGTTGTAAAGTTTGAAAGGATTTGGTATACCCAGTTCGAAGAAAAGTGTCATGAGCGATTTGCTGCTCAGATACCACTTTGACATCCCCTTAACTCAAGTTTCTAGTACGTTTTCGCGACGAAACAATCAGTGCAGGTGCGTATTTCCATTTGGAATAATTTTTCGATCTCAGGGGTTCAGGGATCTAAGACCTCGAGGTGACTCCGTTAACAGGCAATAAAGAACAGAGTCGTTTCCGTCGCGACGGCTGCGGAGCATTAAGCGCACCGAGAGAGCCTCGGTGCTCGTTAAAACGCTGTAATAATGTTTATTAATATTCGCGACGTTAACGCGCACGCCCGGGCGTGTAGCGAATACGAAAGGCGGGGGGCATAAGCGAATCGTCGGGTAATCGAATGAATTTTCTCGGCGAAGGGAACATCTCCGAGAGCGAGGAGCCTCCCGAATCGTAATGAGAACGAACGGTGGCACCTAGCTTGGACCCTGTAATTAAGTAATTCGGGACGAGCAGAATGCAGCGCAGAGTGCCTTGCGGATGGCGTTTCTCCAGCTCCCAGGATTTCGTCGACGAAAAACCAGCATAAAAAAGATACTTTCGAAGCCCCGTCGACCCGGACCTTGAATTTACACTTGGGTCTGTAATGATTTTTGGAAATCAGCTCTATTTATTAAGGGGACACGAAAGTGGCATTGGAGAAGTCAATCGCTCATGAAACTTTTCTCCGAAGGGTGTTCCGAATCGTTTCAAACTTTACAACGTGTATTTGGAGGCTATACGGAAGGTCTTTATGCTCATGAAATTTCATATTTGTAAGAAATTAAAAATCTGTATGAACAAATTAAAAAAAAAACTTGATATTTCATGGGAACGATCCGGTACACCCAGTTTGGAGAAATGTTACACAAACGAGACCTCTTTGGAGCCACTTTTATATTACCTTAAAGTCCCGGTTCCATTATTTTTGTTATTGGCTAATATTAACGCAATGCATCTTCTCGATGGTTACCCATACATCCTTGTGGAGGGACCATCTGTAATATCGTTTAATTTCGCTGATATTACGGAAATCGGTGTATCGAAGCGGTTTGAGAGTTGACCGAATTCGCACTTAACGCGGTATTTCGCGGCCCCGAAAGATTCCTCGGGTCCTCGAGATCATCTTTATTTCACGCTCCCGGGAACGAGGGAGTCACAACATCTCCTTGAATTCCCAGATTCAAGTACTGGCTAAATATTTGCATTCTCCGCTACCCCCTAGCTGGCTTCTCCACTGCGCTTCCCTCCCGCCTCTTCGGCACACCGAAGACCGTCGAGGAACTTCAATGTTTAAACCTGGCACTACCTAAACATTTGCATTCTACTTTTTGCGTGCCTGCTTTGCTCGCTCTCACCTTTCCCCTCGACGTCATCTCCGCCCCGCATTTTTTTCTCGCTGGGGAAACGACCTTTCCGAGAGCCGATTATCAAATTCGGTAGCGGGTCGTGAGATTTACATTTCATGTAATGACCCTTTGGTACTCGATTTAAAAGTAGGATCTCAGGGATTTTTTCACCGAATTGTTTAGAATTCAAACCAAACTTTAGAGGTCTTGATAATCACCCCGACCCCCGTGAAGTATGAAATGGAACCTTTATCATTGATATCTAGCATCATTTTGACATCGCTTGACATTTGATACGTCCTATTTTCTAACCGCTGTTTCCGTTTCAGGTGCAGCTTCTTTCATGTAATGACACTTTGGTACTCTTAAGGCGATCTAAAAGTAGCATCTTTTCTGCAAACTGGGCGCACCGAATTGTTTAGAATTCAAACTAAACTTTAGAGGTCTTGATAATCACCCCGACCCCCGTGAAGTATGAAATGGAACCTTTATCATTGATATCTAGCATCATTTTGACATCGCTTGACATTTGATACGTCCTATTTTCTAACCGTTGCTTGCGTTTCAGATGCAGCTTCTTACTTACCATCTCGGTGCTCCTTCTGGCCATGGTAATCTCCGGTATGATGGTCCTCGACGCCATAGGCGAACTCGTAGCTCGGCTGGGCCGAGAAATCCTGATGCTGGTGTCCGTGCTGGTCCTTCCAGGTGACCTCGTGGTCATCTCCGGCGACTGGTCCGTGGAAATGCTGGAAAGAATGAGCGTGTCCTTCGGCCTCGACGTGGAGCGCCGTCATGGCCAGCAGGACCAAAGAGGACAGAATCTGTCGGTAGAAAAATGAAAAGATGAACCTGTCAGCGAGGGAATCTTTCTCTTGGCCTTCTCGCCTTTCATAGCCCCTCGGACCGACTTCGATTATAAGGTCGTCTGGTCTTCGCAAAGTGAAGAAAAAAAAAATGGACGACGCGCGGGCGTTGATCGATCGAAGACGCTTTTTCGCACAATGCCGGACCGCCGGATCCCTGTTCTTCCACAAAAAGCGACCTACCCGATTAAGCTGGTTACCTCGAGGAACAGGGAGTAAAAACGCGTCTTTAGGGCGTTTCCAGGAATCAAACGTCGACCGAGGGGAACCCCCGTAGAGGAGCGAATAAATGTTGGGATTTTAGAGGAGAGGCGGAGAGACGTCAATCTACTTTTATCCACAATTCGGAGATTAGGTTCATTCCAACTTCTCTGACGTATCCATGCACTGATGAGGATAACGTCTCTTTGGATCTATGTTGGAGTATATTTCATATCAGTTCCGCAGTGGTACCTAAACGTATGCCAGGAATCAAACGTCGACCGAGGGGAAACCTCGTAGAGGAGCGAATAAATGTTGGGATTTTAGAGGAGAGGCAGAGAGACGGCAATCTACTTTTATCCACAATTCGGAGATTAGGGTCATTCCAACTTCCCTGACGTATCCATGCACTGATGAGGATAACGTCTCTTTGGATCCATATTGGAGTATATTTCATATTAGTTTTGTAATGGTACCTCTAAACGTATGAATACCCTAATACAAATCCAAGAATATGTTAATCTCACCATGGACATGTCATGGATATGTTTGAAGTGGCCTCAAAGAGGGTACGTAAGCTTGACGTGGTTAGATGTTAATGTTTTTTTTTTTCGGGTTGAATCGTAAATACCCTGAAAAGCGAAATGTTTCAACTGTTAGTGCGTTATTATTGCTACCGTAGAGATTATAGAATCAAAAAGGAGAGAGTATTATAGTCGTTATTTTGATTATTTAATGTCTTTGTAATTCAACTCAGAAGAGACGTTTATTAGGAATCGACCGCGTTATATCTACGTACCCCTTAAATGTCCACCTCCCGAAACCGGGGTTTATCGAGATACCCGAACATCGTTATCGAGGGATAATAGAGTAGCCGAAAGGAAAGTGGGTTAGCGAAGTACTCACTTTGGCGGCCATTAGGTTCCTCATGGTGTGGCCCGATCGATCGATCGCCGTGATCACTGGAGCACTGATCGGCCGAAACGCAGCGTGATCTCCTTTTATAGGATGTGGCTTTCCTTTTGCCTAATTTGTCGGCGATCTGCGCCTCCACCCGCGTCGTGGCCGTCACAATACCGACGTCCAGTTACAAAACAGAATTATCCAACACCTCGGCGGCATGGCAAAAAGCTCACGAGGGGCTGGCTCGCTGGAGCGATTCGTCCGATTTTCTGGAATCCAGGCTGGCGGGGAAAAAAAAGAAAATCCGCCGACCTGAGAGACGCTGCGGAATTGCGGCTAGGTGGAGCGTTCAATAAGTTTCGCATCCGTAGGACAACAAATGCTCGTTCCGCCTCCACCGGCGATCGCTTTGACCGGCTCGCAAAATCCTGAAATTCTTAACTTCGTCAATTATCGGCGGATTTGGTTATCCCAGGAAAAGAGGGAAAAGCTCGTCGCGCGTTTTTTTTTATCGGTGGGCTTTTCCTTTTTCCCTCGTTTCGGCTACCCGGTGGATTTTCTCGCGTTCTAGAGGAGATCGATGCACCCTGCGTAACCGCTGCCGTGAACACGGCGAGTCCTCCGCCAAGAGATTTCCGCGAAGCGGCGTTTCCGCGTTTCCCGCATTTCCCGGGATCCTCGCGAGGTCGTTCCCGAAGGGTGCGAAGATCTTTACGAGGAGGGAAATCGATTCCAAGGCGAGTCATGGGCGTCTCCTCTTCGTCTTCGTCTTCTTGGGTTCTTCCAGCCGGGATGGAGTATGAAGGCGCTCTTCCAGGTCCCATGGGATATCCCTCGGAATGGTCGCTTCGGTGGATTGTCCCGAATAAAGTCCCCAGGGTGAGAAAATCCTCGGAGTGGCCCAATGAAATTTTCCGAAATCCTGGCTTCGAGTCTATCGGTGGGGCCTTCGGTCTTTCCCGCCATTTTTCACGCGTCGCTTCCTTTCTCGGACCTTTCCCTTCTCTTCATCTAAAGCCTTCATCTAAATGAGCTCTGTCCTGCTCCTTAACTTTCCCATTTCTCCGCTTCGCTGGAAATGGAAATTAAATGGACAATTTGGGTTGCCAGAGAAATTCTTTCTCCTTCACGTAGTTGGAACGAATTGTGCCGGCTTGAGTAAAATCTCTCACCTTGGGAGTACACTCGTCCGCTTAGGATAAATTATCCAGGAAGGATGCTGGAACGCGAATAATAAATTAGGTAACAGTGAGAATATTTTAAGTATTATTATATATTATATAATCCACTGTGTCAGGTGAAGCAAGGGTAATTAAAGGAAACTCTGTCGAGAGTTTAGCTAACCAAGTCTCTGCAGGGAAGGCCGCGTAGCTCCTTCAGGATTCGGGAAAGGATGCAGAATTTGCAGTAATTCCGATATTCCGTGTACAAGTCTTTTCATGCCGCTGGAAATGAAAATTAAATGCATAGTTTAGACAGGGAAATTCTTTCTCCTTCACGTCGCAGGAACTAATTGTGTCGCCTTGAATAATATCTCTCACTTCTGGAGTACACTCACTCACTTCTGGAAAATTATCCTGGAAGGATGCTGGAACGTAAATAATAAATTAAGTGACAACGAGGATACTTTAAGTACAATTACACATTGTATATAATTGTTCTAGGTGAAGCGTAATAGAAGGAAACTCCGAGCTCCACGACAGCCAAGTCTCCGAAGTGAAGACGACGTCGCGTCGGTCCTTCAAGATTCAGGGAAGGATGCAGAATCCCCGGTGATTCCAATATTCCGTGTACGGGTCCTTTCATAACACGGCTCGTATATATGATGAGATAAAACGCGGAGAAGGAAGTCGGCGGAACACGACAATATCGCCTAGATCCGAAGCGGTGCACAACGCCTGGATTTCAGGGAGTTCTTCCGGAAAATCTCGCGTTCCCGTCGACAGGACTCTGAAGGACCTGCCCCGAGGCTCGAAGAAAGGCTCCGATGCTGCTGAAGATGCACTCGCAGGACTCTCAGGTCCTGGACGCGTCCCTTTCGAAAGGCGGATTTTATAAGAGACTTTTTCCAATTTTCTCTGTAATATCCTGAATCCTGGGAGTGTGAGGACCGGTAGGGAATTCTCAGGAATCCGCGTCCTGAAGAACTAGGAGCTAAAGATGAAATCTTGCTGGATGATGGTGTTCACGAGGGTGTCTCTCGTCAAACGTCAAGAAATCTTGTCTCGGAACCGTCGCGGTCAAAATCGAATTTTATGAAAATCTCAAACGATAAACAAATTTTATACAAATTGAAATTTTATGGGGGCCAGGACCTTCCTTACAGACTCCACATTTGCGTTGTAAAGTTTGAAACGAATCGGTACACCCAGTTCAGAGGAAAGTGTCATAAACGAGACCACGTTGACGCCACTTTTACATCGCCTTAAGGTGATGTGATCAGGTCCTGAAACTCATGAAACTTCAATTTTTTAAAAACTTGTTCATAGATATTTGAAAAATTTGTTATAAAAAGAATGAAATTTCACGAGTATCGGGACCTTTCTTATAGCCTCCGCAATCACGTGGTAAAGTTTCTAACGATTCAGCCCACCCGGTTGGGAGAAAAGTTTCATGAACGATTGACTCTTCGGATGCCACTTTCACATCCCCTTAAGGTCTGATTCCAGAAGTGCGAATTCCCAGGTCCCCAGGCCCTCCAGGACATCGAACTGCAGGTTGTCAAGGGAATCCAGGGAGGTGACGATGTCTGCAAGGATGTTCCCGTCGTTTCTCGTCCCGGAACGATCGCGGTCCTTCGGTCGCTGCATCCTTGCCGTCACCAATCTGCGTAATACCGCGGGATGAAGGGGCCACTCCCGGGGGAATAAATCGGGAGATTAGTCCTGGAGGCCCGCGACAACCTGCCGGAGTGTCCTGGCCGAACAATATGCACGTACATACAAACGCGCGCACTTCCATTGTTGCTCCCGTGGCCCGCCAGAATCCCTCCGTATCTCCGCGGGATAAATTTCGAGGAGATAGCACGCCGAGATAAAGACGAATAGTTCTGTTTGTCCGCGAATTTCGCGGTATCTCCGCGCCGGCCCCGGAGACGCGGATCTTCCGCGAGCGGAGAGAGAGAGGAAGTCGAGCCGGAGGAGGAGAGAATCCGTTTTATGGGTCACGATCTCGGCGCTGCGGGGTCGCACGACCCCCGACTCTTTCGGGCCATTTTCCCACCGAAAACACCCGGTCGTCCCACTAAACGTCCTGGCGGGTCTATCGTCGGGGACGACGATGTATCGCCTCTTGGGGTTGTTTTCCGTCCTCGGTTATTCGCCGCTTTTCACCCTGGCTTTCGGTCCGGTCAAGAACTCCACCCTCTACTTTGCATGCCGTAAGAAATTGCTGGGATCTGCCAATAAAAAGGACATATGTGGTTGTAGTTATGAAGTTGGTTAAGTAAAAGTCCTTAAACAAAAGGATTTGTCCCATATTTTGGGTTTATGTATTGTAAGAAATAGTCGGGATCTATTCTTGAATAGGACATGTGTTCGTAATTTCGAAAGTGGTTTAAGTAAAAAATCTTAATCGAATTTATCCTTTTTGTATTCATCATTGAAAAGGACGTATGTATCTGTAATTGTAAAGGTGTTATTTAAGCAACAAGTTTTTACAAAAATGAATTTATCCAGTACTTTGAGTACTTTGAGCTTCCATTGATATCGCAACCGGGTGAAGTTAGTTTTTCGACAATAAAAATGAGTTAGACTTTTTCGTAATTACGGACACATGTCATAGAGAGAATTTAATATTGGACGAGTGTTTGTAATATTTCAATGTTTTTATGACGAAGTCGACAAAGGTGATTAGGTGTTTTTTAGACTTTGTGAGGTGTCTCTACGGTCACAATGCATTCATTTAGGCCAATCGCCGGTATTAGTTCCACGTTGATGTCGAGTAATAACCGATCTCAGTTTGCAATTTACGCAGATCAAAGTGCACCGGGGATCGGGTGAATAATTGATGAAAATCAAGCTTTGCAGGTATTGGCACGTCCTTTAATATAGCCAGCGAAATGAGGAGGGTATTCATTATGCTCTATGAACCTGGGAGTAATCATTCGAAGTACTTATATAACGAGCCATTACAAGGTAGGGGTATTACCCCTGAACGTAATGTAGGCACTAGTAACATTAATTATTCCCATTCGCCTCCGTTCATTAATAGATCATTAAGAAACGACTCCTTCAAAGACATCTTAGTTTCGCCCTAATCACTATCTCGGTTCTAAAGCGTCTTTCCAGTTTAAAGTCCATCTTTTTGGGGACGGAAAACGACCTCCCCAGGTTCAAAGCGGTTTAGTAAGTTCACCGGGTTTACTAAACGAGGAAAAAGGTCGAAGGGAAGGGAAAGATGGAAGAGTTTCGTGCAAGGAGCCCATTTCAAGGATAGTCCTGGTGATTACCCGGTGTCTCGATTACCGGGTGATAGCCGGCGAGCCTTCATTGTTCCTCGTCGAGTCCGAAGCTGTTCGCATTCTTCCTTGTACTCCCGGTTTATACTCCGTCTTCTGTTAACAAGGTTACGAACGAATAGGCGGTTCCGAAAAAAAGATGAACGCGTACTTTTGCCATAATTCGGATATCCATTTTCAGGTGGATCGAGGTTGAGGAGGAAGAAGAAATTTTCGGGCTACTCGTTCGGAATCAGTAAAAACGATTTCCTTTCTTGAGAACCGATTGCCTTTGATTTCATATGATAAACAACAATGCGATTCGGACATAAGTGACGATCGGTCTTAAAATTGTACTATGTTTCGGTGATTTCCAACAATTTTTAGTAACCAATTTCATTTCGAGCAATGAAATCCATGATTTCCTGAGTGAATAACTCCTCGAGAAGAAATCCTAAGCACGTCTTCAAACAGTGGTAGAAGATTCCGACTAGCAAGGAACCGCAACAATAATCAGGGGTGCAACGATTCGAACATTTAAATTCGTTAAACTGAAGTTAAGCTCGTACTCGAGTAGTTTTGACTGTAA